GATGGATGAGCTATTTTGATAAACTTTTCAATGACGTTTCTAAAAATACAAATAAACCCTAGTGATCTTTAATATGGTCAATAATAATAAAAAATTTCATTTTTCCCGTCGCATTAGTAAAAAAAGAAATTGAGGAGCATTTAAGAAAATCAAGGGTAGGAAATCAGTAGGACCTAATGATATCCCCATTGAAGTGTGAAAATATTTAGGAGATTTGGGAGTTTATTGGCTTACAAAACTCTTTAATATTATTTTAAAAACTAAAAAAATGCATGAGGGGTCGAGGAAAAGTATTTTGGCCTCCATTTTTAAGAATAAAGGGGATGCACAAGAGTATGCTAATTATAGAGGAATTAAGTTCATGTGTCAATACTTTAAAATTATGGGAGAAGGTAATTGAGCATAGGTTAAGACGTGATACAAAAATTTCTCATTTCTCATAATCAATACAAAAATTTCTCATAATCAATTTGGATTTATACCAGACAGGTCTACTATGGAAGTTATAAATTTATTGAGAGGTAATCAATTTGGATTTATACCAAACAGGTCAACTAAGGAAGTTATAAATTTATTGAGAGGTTTAATGGAGAAGTACAAAGAGAATAAAAAGAATCTACAAATGATTTTTATTGATTTAGAGTAAGCTTACGATAAGGTTCCATGGGAAGTCCTTCGGAGAGTTCTAGAGAAAAAAAGATGTTGATATCACTTACATTCAAGTCATTAAAAATATGTATACTAGAGTTGATATTTGTGTTCGAATAGAAGGATTGACGAAGTATTTTCCTATTTCAGTTGGACTACGTCAGGGATCGGCTTTAAGCCCATATTTTATTAATCCAATAAGAAGATAAAATATACTTCCCCAATTACAACCAGGTATCTTCAATAAGAAGATAAAATGTTGTTGTTGTTGTTGTTGAATCAACCATTATATCTTATTAATCCAATAAGAAGATTAAATATACTTACCCAATTACAACCAGGTATCTTCAATTTTCATATGTTAATAGATAATTATTAATATCACACCTACCAAATTACACTTCAAATATTTAATCTTTTTATTTTATTAGTCATAAGTCCTTTATAACTAAGTTAAGTGTTGCCGAGATGAAAATGATTAGGTGGATGAGTGACTTTACACTTAGAGACAAAATGCAAATTGAATAAATCCGTGATAAAGTTGGTGTTGCTCCAGTGACGGACAAAATTAGAGAGAATCGTCTTAGATGGTTTGGTCATATTAAACGTCGACCATCTCATGATCCGATCAAAAGAGTAGATGTTTTACATTTGACTTATGTTAAGAAAGATAGAGGTAGACCTAGGAAAACTTAGGCATATTGTATAAAAATTATCTTAATTTATCAGATTTAAATCAAAATATGACACTAAATAGGACGCAATGGAGAAAAAGGATCCATGTAGCCAGCCCTACTTAGAGGGATAAAGGTTTTGCTGTTGTTGTTGTTGTTTTTGTTGTAGTCTTAAGTCCTTTACCTTATAATAATTTCTCCCTTACTCTTAACCTTCCACTTAACATTAATAAATGCCTCATCCTTAGAACTATTTCAAACTATTATCTGTGAAATGCAGGCAGCTTCATAACCAATACAAAATATAGAAATATAATGTTTATCATTGATGTAATCCTATTATATTTTTTTTCCCTCGATTAATCCTTTTAATGTTGGTCGATGCCCAATCATATATAGTTTCAAAAACTTTAGTATAACTTTGTTGTCATTTTTAATGCAATGCACCCAAAACAATTCTTGTAGTACTTAACCATGTCTTTCCAATAAAAATAACTATATGAAGATCATCTCTTTACTCTATATATTATTTCATTGTCATTTAACACACAAAATTGATTCTATAATTCTCTAGCATGGAGCCAAACTAATTCATGATATCGGTGTGTTTTTTTTTACTCTATGTTCTATTACAATCTTTCTCACACAACTTCATCGTATGACTAAAATGTTTCAATACTCTATAATTACTATAATATTGAAAATCTTCTTCGACATCAAATATTGGTATCAGAATAATTCATTATCATTTAATATTATCTTATCATTCAAAATACCATTAAAAATTTGGTCTACCAAAACACTAAAAAATCACATGTACCTCTCTAAACATTAATAGGTATCTCAACAAGATGACTAAACTTGCATTTTTATCTTAATGCATCTTCAAGGCTAACTCCACTTCTTCTCCTTCAAAGCTTATTTCACTTCGCTTTTAAAAAACAATCTACAATATACCACATTATTTCATTCATTGTGTTCTACAAGTATAATTTTTTCCTTAAAACACATTTCATAATTTCTCAAAATATTATTTTCATCCCTTCTTGATGCCTCCAACTTTAACTAAGACATTATCTTCAATTAAGATATCTAACTTTAAGTCTTTTTTTATATCCTATTAGTAATTTTATATATGTTCTTTTATGATTCAACAGAGCCTAAGCTTTTGCTTTACTAACCATATTCTCTGCAAAACTTGCAATTTTTCTTATAATCGTAAGAGCCTCTCTACTAATTATGTTTTGCCACCATTTAAAAGCACATTGTTTTTAATAATTGTTTGCAACTCCTCACACCACTCCTAAACCTTCTAACTCATATATACTCTATATCTAAATTATTCAACATGATAATAAAATTAACTATCTTATTCCAAATTAAATTTACTTCAAATAAAAAATTAAATTAAATTCTCTTAGTAAGCCCTTGCAAGTAACTCTCGCATATCATAGTTTTCAATCATCCTTTAGTCAACTGATGCTTGACCAACTTTGCAAAAACAATAATCATGATTTATGGAGCAGAATGCCAAGCAGACCACCAGGGCTCATTTGGTTGGGATTCTTCATTACATAAAAGAGTTTGAGGAGCTCAAGGTTAGAAAGCTGCTTTATGCCTTAGAAAACGTTTCAAAATTCCATTCCAACAGATCTTCTACTCTCCTACAGCGGCAGTAGCTTTGGAAAGAAAAAACAACCCAACAACAAAAAAAAAAATTTACAGTGTGGCAGGCGGTTCCTACCACACAGTATGATCAGACATTTACTTGAGATTTATAATTCTATTCTTATGATAAATCACTTAAATATACAATAAATCATCATTATAACTTTCTAGGAAGTGAAAATAAACTTTTCCTCCACATATTACATAAGTATGTACCAAGGGTAAAGTGTTCACCCAAGAAAAGAGTAAGTAAAGCAATAAGTGATATCAGAGGAAGCCCAAACCACAACAGAAATAACAATATTATTGTTGAATTTCAAAGATTACAACAGGGCTCGTCAAAATAATAATTAAACAACAACACAAACATAAAGACACAACAGACTCCAATAAGGGTTGCGAAAAGATAAAATGTCTCTTCGAGGCCAAGTTACAACCAGAGCACCACCTTCTAGCCATCGGATACAACCCTCAGAGGAGAAGAATGCCTCAAAGGCAGCACACGGAAATCTGCACTTATCCAAATCTCCTTTCTTAAGAAAAAATAGGATATCGGACAAGTTACAGTCGGAGCACCTTCTTTCCCTCGGATACAACCCCGGAGGGAAATAATGTCTCAAAGGCAACACTCAGAAATCTGCACTCATCCAAATCCCCTATACATAAGAGGTATTAGGACTTATATTAGACAATGTTTTCAAATTGGAATAGAATGAAATGGAAGTAATATAATAGACAAGGATTTATAATAGGGGGTTTCATGAAAAAGTAAAGAAAGAAAAGGTAGACATAAAATAGGTAGAAAATAAAATAGGAGAATCATAGAAAAGAAAACGAAGAGAGAGGGAAACGAGAAAGGAAATGGGAGGAAATTTTGGTCGCGGTACTGCAGTAGCTAGAGTAATGTGTTCGTGGCACTATAGATGCTATAGTGTCGCGACCCGCAGAAAACTCTAGCGTCAATCTCCCGAAGTAGAAAAATTTTGGCGGGGGTGGGTTTGGGTAGGGGCAGATCTAGGGTTGGGCTTGCTCTGATATCAAATAAAACTGGAGGAAGCCCAAATCATAACATAAATAATAATATTATTACAACAAGACTCATTGAAACAAGAAATAAACAACGACAAAACAACAACACAAAGATAAAGGCACAATATAGACTCAATAAGGGTTGTGAAAAGATAACATGTCTCCTCGGGGTCGAGCTACAGCTAGAATAACACCTAAACCCTTGGAGACGGTCACCACCTCGGACGAGTTACAACCGGAGCACCTTCTCATCGTCGGATACAACCCCCGGATGGAAGAATGTCTAAAAAATTTACACTCATCCAAATCTCCTTTCCTAAGCAAAAACGACCCCTCAAACGAGTTACAGCCGGAGCACATTCTCGTCGCGGATACAACCTCCAAAGAGGAAGAATGTCTCAAAAGCAGCACTAATCCAAATCTCCTTTCCTACGCAAAAACAGCCCCTATATATAAGAGGGATTAAGACTTATATTAGACAATGCTTTCAATTAAGAAATAAAATAAAAGGAATTAGTATAATAGACAAGAATTTATAATGGGGGATTTCATGGAAAGTAAAGAAATAGAAAAGGAATATATAAAATAAGTAGGAAATAAAATAAGAGAATCATAGAAAATGAAAGGAAGAGAGAGGGAAACGAAAAAGGACGGGACGAAATTTGGGTTGCGGTACTGTGGTAGCTACAGTGCCCGGAAAAAGCTTGTGCATCAGTAAGTGAAGACGTAGTTTTTCATAATGAAATTTCATATTAAAATTAATTCATACGAATATATCCAGTCACTTTCAACTTAACATGAATGTTCACGAAGGCTGCACTTTTTTGTATTACTAAATTGGTCGTCTAACCCAGTTAATATTTTAAGCTTTCATCAAATGCAAAAGCACCCTAAGAGTCGAAAGATTGTCTGTAAATGAAGCTCTTTATGCACCGAGTGTGATGAAAAATAAATGAAAGAATTTATTACCAGTAACAATACCTGAAAGGTTTTCAGCAGCAAACCTGAGGCAAGCAGCCTTTAGTTCCATGGCATGAAAACGATCAGCCAATGCAAGAGTGCCAGCAACAGAGTTAACAGATATATCCTTGCACAGGTAAGACTCACACATCAACCGCAGCCTTGCCAAGCCATACTTGTCTGCTGCAGCTAACAATTTTGCGGCCAATGTGTCTGACACCGAAATTCCTGGAGACCCGGATCCAACAGGGACATCATCTTCATCTAGAGTGTCTTTGTAAATAAAATGCAGCATTGCCTAATAAATACATAGGATAAAAGAATAAAGATATAACCATGCAAAAATACAAGAATCAACTAAGGGCTCATTTGGATGCATTAAGTTTGAAGATCTGTTTCAAATGATGAAGAAATCCATTATTTGGTTGTGCAAAATTTGAAATCAATATAAAATTTTCAATTCTACAATTAGCTTCAAAATCGCCAAAATGAAACAAAGTAAAATTATCACTTTCAAAAACACATTTTTTGTCTGCAAGCACCCAAATGAGCCTTAAGGTGAAAACTAACCAAAACAATGGCAATCCTCACCTTAAATACCTTTGGCTCTAAATCTGTAATAACTATCTCACTAAGAGCCTCATCAGGCCCATCAAAAAACATACTTCTAAAGATAGGAGAACGAGCAGCCAAAACAAGCTTGTGAGCATGAATTTTTTCCCCAGCCACATCAAAAATGACATCTGAACTTTCTTGCTTTTCCAGAAGCAATCCAAAATGCAGCCCCATATCAGACTCAGGAACCTGTATAGAGTGTAACCTAGGACAATCCATTACTGAGACCACAACGCCAACAGTGCAATTTATTTTCAAGCAATCATCCTTGAGGTAATCTGATGTCTCCAGTGCAGCTCGTCTGAAAAAGCGTTTATAACCCCTGAAAAAGAAACACACCAATAATACATGGCAAAAAGGGAGCAAACATCAATAGATCAAACATGTTAAAATTATATCAAGTTGAAAACATTCCAGGACTATTATTCATTATCATCACTCTCAATCCGCAATAAATGTATATGTTAGATAGGCTATGAAAAACCTGCATATATATCAGAAGCATTTTTCAGGTATATGTCACAGAGGTACCAAAATTAATATAAAAAACAAAGGCAGCAGAGGAGAGCATTGGCGATTCAATCACGTGGAAAGAAAATGAGAGAATCCTGTGAACTGTAACAATAGCAGACTAGGGAAAAATTATAGCATGTACCAATCCGGTGCCTTCTAAAGCACATCAAAATTAAAAAAAAAAAAAACCAAAGAAAAACTGAACTGTTAATATTTTGTTCCCAATTTGCATTCACTTAATAACCATCAAACATGCAATTAGCTGGTAAAAATCTGTGGCCCTGACTGCTACAATTAAGGCTTTGCTCATTTGTAAAAAAATGCAAGACTATCCAACTACTTAGATATATATTAATTTGCTTGTTTCATCTAAGTTAAGATAAAAACATGGAGGAAAAATAAAAATTCTACAATAATAACAAGCCTTTATCCGACTAAGTGGGGTAGGCTATATGAATCCTTCTTCTCCAGAGATTAAAATTCTACTTCGACCAAATATTAAATGAGAATTTTAAGAATGAAAATATTTTGAAAAAGCATAATAATCAAAATAAAGAGGTAAATCAAACATATATTGATAAAAAATCGAGTGGAGTTAATTTCTAAAACATATAAAGATGAATCTAATGAGATCTATTAAGAACTAAGATTTGGGCAATCATAAGAAATGGTGCAACGGTTTCGTTAATAAATCTACAATGGAAATTTGAAAAATGTGAAAAATCAAATCGGACATTCAAGTACCGATATGTAAGAACAAAACAGTTATTCGATATTATGATAACTATAAAAGAATCAAAATCATGCAGATACAATGAGACTTACAAAAATATGAAAATTTCAAAGAATCAGTTTAATTTCAACCCAGGAAGATAAACCATGGAAACAATTCATGTAATAAAACATTTAATGAAAAAACATTTATAACGAAGAAAGGCTCTTCATATGCTTTTTATAGCTCTTAAATGATTACTTCTCTCATTTTCTTGATATGATATGAACTATACGAAATTGAAATTTTGTTGGATGAGCAAATGAAATATTGAGGTGGCCTATTAGTTCGAGATGAGGGGCAACAGGCAATGATGCAAAGAATCATTGATCAGCTTCTCTTATAGCTGAAAATAAAAAATCAATATTCAATTAGTGAGATGCTCTTTCACTCCTTAAGTCTTCGGCAGCTCTAATCATTTTCAAAAGGCTTGAGAATTGGTAGTTAGAAAAGAACAGATACCACAATTTTTTACACAGATACTACACTTGTAAAAGAACAGATACTACAGTTTTTACACATATACTACACTTGTAAAAGAACAGATACTACAGTTTTTACACAAATATTACACTTGTAAAAGAACAGATACTACAGTTTTTACACATATACTACACTTGTAAAAGAACAGATACTACAGTTTTTACACAAATATTACACTTGCAAAAAGAACAAATACTCATTTCATACACTACACAACAAATACTACGACATACGATAGACAATATACATTACACTCTTCACGACAGATACTACAATTGTAGCACATCACATATTGCACTCCACATGACAGATACCACAAGAATAGATATTATATTTCTTTTGAAAGTCTAGATACTATACATCACTTATCCTAACATCACATATAGGTGCACCACACACCCGATAAGTTCAGATACTATACATCACTTATCCTAACATCACAAATAGGTGGACTACGCCCTGATAAGTTCAGATACTATCTCACATGGGTACATTATACCTTTAACAAGATAAGTCTAGATACTATTTGGGTTCACACATTCTTTAAACGATAGGGTCTAGGGCTGCCTGATTATAGAGGTGATTCGTTGGTGACCTCTAGTTGATATTGATAGGTTGACTTCGATATATCAGTTGCATGTGGGATCGAGATAAAAGAGAAAAAGAGGTCTAGTCTGAGCCTAACCCCAAATTAAAAGCTAATATCCCACTTTAAATTTTTATATGTTTATCACTTTTCCTTTCTTTTATAATTTGCAAATGTTTATCTAATCCCTTTATATCATGCAATTGTAATATGTTTTGTAACATCGTCAGAATTAATCAGTTACATTTAGTTGTTTCAGTTTTGTTCATTTATTACATTTTTTTTTATTGCACAGTTTTTCTTTTCTTTATATTGCTTTACTTTCATAATTTTCCTTCAGTCTTTTTTTGTTATAGTACTTTAGTTGTTCCTTTCATGTACTGCATCGTACTATAGACATTCTTTTATATTTATACTTTCAAATATTGTTTTCTTAGTATGTTTGTATAACACCCTAGAATAGGTCGTTCGAGGCATGGTGTTCTCTCTTCTCTCTCCCTCTTCTCGAGACAAGATGACAATGCTTTCAAGTGACGATTCATCTCCGGACAACAGTCGATACTACAACAGAAGGTGGAAAAAGAAGCTTCAACCGAACTTCGATAGATTTAGATAACGCACCTATAGAACGCTGAGGTTGTTCGTCTGACACGATGTAAATCCTCACACTATCTTTTAGGATTTTCTACGATTTCATATCGTACGATATAAGTCCTACGTTTTTTTAGGATTTTGAGGTTGTCGTTCGGTACGACATAAATCTTCACATTTCCTCAGGTCATTTACATATGAAATGTAATTATAAGCACAGAGTATCTAAATAATTTGTAAGACTAAAACATCAAATAATTTCTCTTTCAAAGATGTAAAGTCAAACCATAGGTTAATTTGAGATGTCACTGAATCTCCTTCAGTATCTTCGACATCTCCTACTCTTCACTTCTTTGGATTCTGGAAATAACTGTTCCTATTTGAACATATCTCATTTGACTTTTCCTATGAACAATCGTGGAAACCTAAACGTTGAATACTTGAAGACAAAACTTTGATCTTAATCGAGAGTTTTCTTAGGTGACTTCGGTTATCTAAGATGTAATTAACTAGAAGGGTTTGTTTCTATAGGGAATTAAGAACCCAGATTAATCTAAACTCTGTCTAATATGTGTATTAGATAGGGGAACTTGTCGGCTATAAATTCGCAGACCAAAATAGAGTCATAAACTTTTAAGTTTAGATAATTAAGCCTACTAATAAGTGATATGTTCATCCTTCGAGATGATATATCATTTATGGTATCGTACTCAGTTATTTAAACTATTAGATATATGAGATCTATCTGATCTCATCATCAAAAATAATAGAAATATATCATTTTCATAAAATTAAAATTACATTACATATTATACTAAATTTAAATTTTAAAATCTTATTTTAAAAAAAAATATAGCCGACAGAGGCGTACGCCTTGCCTGAATTGCATGAGGCATACATCTCAGAGATATTGAGGCGCACCTAATTGTGTGCTTCGCCTCAAATTCAATCAAGCATCTATCGTATTTGAAATTAGATATTTACTTAAACCTGAAAGCCTCTTATCTTGTACAATTTCATTCGAACCCGCAAGCCTCCATCTCCCTCTCACAGTAGGAGCCTGGGACTACCGCCTGCTGCACCAAACAAAGTAGCTGCCTAATCCGCTTGTCGTCATCGACGCCACCAGTTGCTTCTACTATAAGTTGTTGCATCTGCAGCTTGGTGTTGCACCTGCTCCCACCACACTATAGCATTCCCTAGTCTTGGCACCGCCATCTACTGCACCAGTCAACACCACTGTCGCTACCGCCTGATCCTGGTATCACTGGCACCATCGCAACCACCTGCTACTTTGTTTGTCTTAAGCACTTTATTTAATTAGCAAGTGCCTAATTTCTAATTAGTTTTCTATTACAAAAATTAGAAATAATAAAAAAGTGGCAATTTCATCCATAGCACTCAAAACATTGCTATTTTTACGTCTATCACCCTGATCCATCCATTTTAAAAATTTTCACTCAAATATTAAAATTAAAGATAAAAGGCAAACCCATACTTTCCATTTTATCAAATTTTCAATGGTTTGATGGTGGCACACATAAATGCACTGACTATGTTGCTCTAAAAAATGGGTGCTAAATGTTAATTTTATAAATAATAATATTTTGAGTGCTCTGTATGTAATTACCTTAAGAATATTTTAGGTTACGCATAAATTTGAATAATGAATACTATTCTAAGGTCACTCAAGTAGACTATCATGCTCAATTTGCTCAACTTTGTGCATTTTATCAATTGTAACCATGCTATGATTTAATGTCTTCTTTTCATATAGCTATACATTATAATAATAGTATATACTCTTTCATCCATTTATTTTGATAATGAATTTTTTAAATTGTGAGACTTATGCCTCAAACTGCCTCAAGGCTTACATCTCGCCTCGTGAACGCAAAATGCCTCAATACCCAATTGCATAATTTTAAACATTGGTTGCAACAATATGCTAACTGGTGCATGGTGACAACTAGAATCTTGATTGTCATATGGCCCCACCACAAAAAGACGGGCACCTAGCCGTTTCTCACATCACCACCCCATGTAGGAGCATGGTCACGCTCGATGTCCAATTGTCAACACCACATTTTTACCAAATAATGAATTTTACTTCCAAGCCTTCAGCAAGGGTCAGATCCCCAATGGATATATAAATGGCAAAAAAAAAAGAACATCAACACATGCATGCACAAAATTACAAAAGAACAGCACTGCTCATGATAGATGATGCTCACATCAAACTAATATGTGCAAGTTTGATTGTCAAAAAAACAAAAATCCTTAGAAAGATTGCCATCAACAAAAATAATTTACAAATAAACCAAAAAACAGGGATGGAAAGCACCTAATTGAACAGCAGTGGAAAAAACTTACCACATACTTCCGCGATACTTGAGCGTGTAAGGTCCACTCTCCAAAGACCGATCGAAGTGGCTATGCACCTTGTGCTTCCCCTTCCCGCTCTGATCCACAAGCGTGAGCTCGAAAAGAGCCCTTACATCCGTCCCCTCGCTCGCAAGCGCGATGAAGACGGACACATAGGTCGAATTATCCTCCGGATTCTTGCCATCCGGGTAAAAATAGACCGCCCATTGGTAACCCCCCACCGTGAAGGTGTCGCTCGCGATGTGCTTCCCGATTCCCATGCCCTTCGCTAGGGAATAACCCTGGATCACAAACTTGTGCGATCCATTCACGGTCTCCGTCACTGAACGCGAGCTGGTGGGGGAGATAGAAAGGTCCCTCTCCGGGGGAAGAATGATCTCTGGAATCATCTGCAGAGAAACTCGCTTCGCATCAAAGAATCGGATACTTACAAATAAAGACCTGAGCCGGCAGGGCGGGAAATTAGGAATAGAAGCAGAATCTCACAAGAGTTTCTCAAAATTTGCTAATCGATCTATAGTTTCTCGGGGTGTTTTGAACCCTAGGAGGAGATCTGGAGCTAGGTCTCTAACTTTTCCCGTCGTTCTTTTTCCCTCCCGACCTCAAAGAGAAGAACGATGCCATTGAATTCATACATATTTATATATCTGTCATCTAAATTTAAAATTTTATATAAATATTACGTTCATTATACATGAAAATAAGAATATTGCTTCTAAAAATATTATGTCATATAAAAAATTTGATTATTATAAGTATTAAAAGGATTCATGTCATGATTATTTTTTGATGTACTTCAAAATTATTTAGTTAAGTTTAAAATAAATGTAGGTGGTGGTATTTTTTTTTTTTTTTTTTGATTTGAAGTGAAATTAAACCGATGGGGGTGGTTTTTTTTTTTTTTTTTTTTTGATTTGAAGTGAAATTAAACCGATGTAAAATTTGGCAATAGCAGGTATCCTAGGGATGGGAGATAATGTATATGGTTGTTATGACTATAGATTATGCAATTTATTCGAAAATAAGTCATCTCAGGTAATTTTTTTAAAAAATCAAGCTTTAATTAAATGGTTAATTCTAAATCCGCCAAAAATCTATATTGCATTTCATTTCCATCAAACCAAACATCAAAATTTAAAAATATAATGCGTTTGATTTGCATTGCACTTTCAATGAAGGCTACCAACAAACTTTCTAATACAAAAATAAAAAAACTTTGTAAAGCTTCATTCTTATGTTCACTTAAGTCCCACTAGAATCATCATTCACTTTTTCATAAGCTCTTCTCTCCCTTGTGAAATCATCTATATCACAAATGAATCCCATATAAACTTTTATCTCTTGCGCACAATTGAAAACCTATGAAATTTATCTCTCACACATGATATTATAACTCTTTGAACTCTCTCTCTCTCTCTCTCTCTCTCTCCTACACTCAAACTTGCTCCCAATAAATAAAATCTACATTTGTTTTTAGTGTTTTAGGGATGCTTTGCTCTGCTTTACATATCAAAGCTTTTGAAATTGGGGAAAAAGAAATTCCTATGGTATATCTTATATAGGGAAAGCTAATCCAAAGACAACAAAACAAAGGCAAGTGAGCTTGCAAGCAAGCAAGATGGATGATGGAGATAGCAAGACTTGAGACAACATTTGTTGTTGTCTCCTTAGGCCATCATCTTGCGAGCAAGTGTAAGGATGAGGATGTTTTAACTTCAACAAATTTGATAGAATTGATAAGGTTAATTGGGGAGGGGGCATGATCTTCATTTTCTTCTTCTTTAAAGCAAATAATGGAAACATTAACCTTAAAACTTGTTATGTCTTTTTTAGTAAGTTATAAGTTATCATGACCTTGCTCAAGGGGCTTGGAATTGTCAGGATTAGAATCGATGGTCAAACAGTAAAATTAATTTCTCGACCGCTAATGCTATCACAAATTAATAAATAGAGTCATACAAATAATCGAAAGAGGCAATAACAAATAAAAATAAAAAAAAATCAGTGATACTTGAATTTACCTCTCTTTGTTGGCTATGTTTATCTTTTCATGCATTCATTTTCTAACCAAATTAATACCTAAAATCATTAGTTTAAATTACTATGAGTTTTCAATAACTTGGAGAATATTGATATTTCTAAAATTACAATAATATAAATAATTTAAGATATAATATGCATGTTAGTTAAGAATAGTAAATCAGTATCAAATTATTATCTTATAAGTATGATTGTAAGAAAGATTCAAATAATTTTAAAAGTTATATTATATCTTATTTCTATCATTTTCATCCATCTCACGGTCATCTTCCAAACAATAACTAATACACTCAAAGTAGATGTGTGCCCCTTTGACATAGTGTGGCATATAACATGTCTATTATTGTGTGAGGTGAAAAGGCTCCTACTCATCCTTGGTAGACAAATCTCTAATTGACATGGAGGGGCAAGGTATTAATTTCATCATTACTTTAGTTGGAAGGAATACTTCAATACACAGAGGTATATTATGTCTCCAACCAATATCATAAGAAAACAAAATCCTTATTTCAACATATACATACAAGTGTTCATGCAAATGATATTACTTACATTCTACATTTCATTCACTATCTTTCTATCATTAACTCTATATAATTCATTCATTTCACATGTTATCGTGAAAACTCATTTCTATTAATATAATGCATACAATAAACTTATTTCATAAGCTTATAGATCTAAAATTCATTTCAACATGAATCAAATAGTGACTGTAAAGATAAATAATAATATAATGTGAAATAACATTTGGTACAATAAGTTTAAAAAATAGTAGCAAATGTATTAGGTTTATAAGAAGTGAAAATATTATTATAATTTAAAAGTATGAGTACAAATTTGGTCTATTCACAGTTCATGCAAGTGCGTGAGTCAATCAAGTAGTGATAATTAATGAAGTTCAAGATCGTTCCCATGAGCAGCTGATATAAACCACTATTTTAAAAACCAATTACTAGTTTCCAAAACCCTGAGTTGGTTGTGTTGACTCTATAGTTTTGAAGATAATAAATATATGGTTAGTGAACATAATATTTTTTATGAAAAATTTCAGGATCACGTGATTATATGTATGAAGGAAGCTTAGAGCTCGAATTTACATCTATAACTTAAATTAGGATTAAAAATTAAAAATTAGTAACTTGTTTTAAATCATTAAGTAACAATATAAACAATATAAAATATTCAACAAAAATATCACATTATTTTAAAATGATTATCTTACGAATTATAAAATCCTATCTCATAATGATAAAATGTTATTGTACATTTTCTAATTTTACTATAGCAATCCAAAATTCTAATTTTTTTATATTTTTAGCATTCCAAAATTTATATCCTTTTGGCAATTAAATATATAAATTTAATATAATATTTTTTTAATCAAAATATAACATCTTAAAACATGTCAATTTTTATGTCTTTATGATTTTCATGATTTGAATTGCTTAAACATCATTTATTATATGAATATATGAATTTCTATTACCCTTGGCTACATCACATCAAAAAGCATTTTCTTATATTCATTCCTAGAAAAATTATTGGGTGCGGTGTCCGATGAATTGTATTAAACCATTGGTTTGGGACTTCAAATTGATGAGTTATTGTCTTCCTAGCTCAAGTCCCTCACCTTAGGATCTTCCAAACTTGAGTGACTTCCAATTCTCAACAATTTGACAAATTACACTTTTACCCTTTCTGTAGCAAATGACATGAATTGATTTCTACTGAAAAAATTAGAATGGGCCCCACTCTAATAATAATAATGATAAAAAAATATTTTCAGTGGTCCTAATCAGACACCGCACGTAAATTTGTGTGCGGTGTTCGTAGCTCTCATTCCTCACACATATTGGAAAATGTTTTTGTTTTTGACTTTCCTTCTGTCTAGAGCCTCATGCAGTATATTAGGACTATATTTTCGTAATGTAATACTTTTTTCCATTCTTATTTTTGGCATATACAATTTATTTATTTCCATGCTTTTTAAATTTGCACTTAATAGATTAGAAATGCATATAATGGTTTTAATACAAATTCACTTCTTTCCTTATCCTATTCAAAAAGCTGCATATACAAAGAATATATTAATATTTTTTTATATTATGAAATGTTTTTATATTAATATGTCATGTTTTCTATTTGTTATTAAATTTTAATTGTTTAAATAATATATTAATTGTATTAATTCCATATTACATTTAAAATCATATATAGTTAAAGGGTTTCATTATGTCTAATTTGAACATATATTTGATTTATGTTATTAATAATTCTTTCTACATTTACAAATAAGAGCGACTTTGTAAGACACGGTGTAATGAAAAACTTAGCAAAATTTGTAATTGTCATTCTGCATCAAGAATGAGAAACTTTGAAAAGAGCATCGAAGCATCTTCAAGCTTGAGAAACATTTGCAAGTTCATTCAGAAACAACGAAGTGTTTGTGCAATTATTAACATGTCATAAGATTGATCGAAGTTTACATAAAATTTCAATTTGTTATAATATTTTGCTAAGTGTTAGAGTGAAACTCAAAAGTTATTTTTTTATTTTTTTAAACTTTATTTTGAAAGAGTTTGTATTTTAAATTTGTGATTTTGATTTGTAAGAGTTTCTCTGCCTTTACACAGTGTGAAGGAGATTTGTTAATTTGATAGTGAGATTCACTTATATGGCTTTGTCTAGGCGCGGAGTGGGCCAGTTTTTTAGGTTTGGCTGAACCATGAAAAAATTTTCATGCGTGTTTTGTGTTTTATGCACTTTGATTTTATAAAACTTTCTTACATTATAAATCCTTTAAAATGATTTTTTTAATTGAATATTAAAATTTGTAATACACAAATTAACTCTCCCTCTGGTTGTGTCATAACCTTCATACCAATTCACATAACTTTAGGCTTTAGTAGAAAAATGTTAAAAATATATATTGAACTAGAGATAAACCTTTGAATTTGTTAAATTTATAATTCATTTGAGGATTATTTTATAATCTTAGTTAATAATCAAAACCTCTAATTTCAAAAGTTCAACAGGCTATATATCCATGCGCTAAGAACTTTTAAATTTTAAAAATCCTCTCCCTAGTTAATTGTCTAAGGTCTGGCTGTTGTATGTCTACTCTCCCAAATCCAAGTTACTAAACAAAGTGATTATAGAATTGAATTAAGAAAATGAAATTGGCCTTAAATATCTCCAAAATTATACTGAAAGCATAAAGATAGAAGGCTCATCTACCTGATGCATAACTAACAACCTAACATTTATAAATTTAAGGAGTGATTTTGCTAGAAACAAACTTAGGAGGTTAAACCCCCCTAAGCAAAGTACAAACACCAAGGGACAGGGCATAAATATGTGCAAGGAAATGTGATATAAATAAAATATTTGTTATATTATAAAATTTCTAGATGGTATGAGAAAGATAAGATGTTTCTAATTAATTTTTATCTAATGGTTCTCAACAATTAATGAAGAAAAAGAATTTTGCATAAATAAATGATCATTGTGCTCACATGCCAACATATCCACCAAGACACATCGCATATGTATGTTATATAACTACTTTTTAAGTATG